TTTGTTTGTCGCTTACATATGTGTTATGTGTGTGAAATTGCTGAATTAACCTAAATCTAAAAAATAAGAACGACGCCAAAGATTATTAAATGTGGAGTCCGGAGTTAGAGAATTGTTCGATTTTGTAAATGTGATCAGTAAAAACATAGTTAATGTTCACCACTATCTTCACTATTTACTAATGCACTTTTATTATTTATAGTCACAAAATCAAACGGTTCTCTTAATTCGAATTCTGAACTCCGCACTTAGACCTATCAATATTGGACCCGAATCGTAAACCCAACCCAAACCCGAAGCGGGTCGTGTTCGGGTCCAGAAAACCGACCCGTTTACAAAACCGGGTCGGGTTCGGGTTGACCCGGGAATGACCCCGAAATCCGTCTGCCCGAAGTCTGCCCGCCTGCCCCGAGGTTGCATCCCGCCATCGCGTCCGCGACTGGCGTCCACCGTTCACGTGACCGACGTGTCTGCATGACCGTTCTTGTCCGCGTGACATCAGTCGTCCGCGTGACTGGCGTCGACCGCTACCGGCGTCCGTGTGACTGGCGTCCGCGACTCAGCCGTCCGCGTGATCGGGACCCTTCGCATGACCCTAAACCCTAAACGGGTTGGGTCCGGTTGACCCGAACCCGAAGCGGGTCGGGTTGACCCGAACCCAAAGAGGGTCGTGTTCGGATCCGAAAAATCGACCTGAACCCGAATAGTGCCGGATCAATTCCGGATTCGACCCGAACCCAACCTGTGACCCGAAATTGACACCCCTATCGGCACTTAATAATGTCTCCAGATTTGTGTGTGAACGCGCTCAGAATCCGAATCTCCTGATTGCTGACATAGGCCAATAATGCATCCGTGGCCGGCGGCCTGGCCAAAATCTATTGGTGCTCTTGTCGGTTTTCCGCATCGGATAATAAAGGAATATTTTTCTTCATAATTGAAATAAAAAATAATTATTATCTCCTCCATAATGACAAAAGTATTTGTGCAGTGGCCCCCATTAATGAACCATTTATGTCAGCGGCTTCAGATCTATTTCTATTAAAAGCATTATTATTATTATCTTATGGATAATTATATGATATAATAATAAAAGAGTTGTTTGGTTATATTTGTATTTAGAGTACCTTTTAGTGTTGAATGAAAAAGATTGAAATGCGCTTAAGAAAAGTTTATGATTTTTTTTTTTATGTAGATATTTCAAAAAAGAAATTTATAAAAATTAAATAATTTCGTTAATATTTTCTCATATTTCAAAAAGATATTATTATAATACATTAGATATGAGATGCATATGATATTTATCATGATGAAAATAAGAGAGTTGCGGTGTTCTTTTGAGATGACGGTGTGTTTAGTTTTGTTGGAGATTGATTATAAATAAAAAAAATACTTTAAAATTATTTTATAGGATGTTTAAAATTTTGAAGTATGTGTTTGATTAAGGATTCATTTGAGAGAACTATAAATCAATATTTTTTCCTGCTTTTAAGATATTTTTTACAAAGTAAATGTTTTGTAAAACTGGGAGGCTTCGTTAGGGACAATTTTCTTTCTGCTTCTTAAAGCGATTTTTCAGTATAAAATTTTTAATATTTGTACTAAAAAAATTATTTATGAAGCAATAAGAAAGCTGTACCAAACGAAGCCTAAGTATGCCATAACATTGAATTTATTTGAAATTTATAGAATATTCTAAAAATTGAATTTATTTGTTCTTAAAAGATGACCTAGCCTTGTGATAGATGATGATTTTGCATCTTGCATAAATCTCTATATTACTCATAGTTCGTATAAATCATTTTGTTAGATCTAGTCAAGCAACAATAGTATTATTTTTTCTTAAATTGTCTTATTGCTAACTTTAGATATCATTTACCTTTTTATGTTAATTTATTTATTTTTTTGTTAATTTTAATTTTATTATTTTATCCAAAGTTTAAAAAATCGAACCGAACTGGCCAGTCTGACCTGTTCAACAGTGAATCGGTCTGAAGGCCGATCCTATTCAACCTTAAAAACTGAATGTGCTCAAACCAGCTATAACCAGTTTGAACCACCGGTTCAACTGGGAACCGACGAATTGGTCCCGGGTTTTCTAAAACCTGCAGGTTCAAATTTTTTAATTTAAATAATAAATTATTTAATATTAAATGAATTTTAAACTTAATCAATTAATATAATTATTATATATTTATTTTAAAATCCTTAAATAAATATTAAAGCCTATGATTAAGTATTACTTGCAACATTCCCATATGGCTCAACAACTCCATATGAGCTCCTAACATGAGTAAAAGTAAAAAGCTATATAAACTATACAAACCAATTAAACTTCACAAGTGATGTAGGACTAAACATACAAAGTAAAAAAGTTATCTTTGGTTTCGTATACATTATACAAAACAAAAGTGCAAAACATCTTTTTTTTTAGTAGTTTTTTAATTAATTTTTATAATATGAATAATATTTATCTTTTAGTTGATAATATTTAATTTTTATTTTTTTATCCATTTAGTTTTTTATATATTTTACTATATATTATAAATATTTATTTTTTATTTTTTGAAAAATTTTACTCTTATAGTTAAAAATATTTATTTTTATCTATTTAATTTTTTTATATTTAATTATATATTGTTGCATCTTCGAGTATTCGCGGCGGTAGAGAAATATAAAGTTTAATATCTTAGCGTTGTACGAAAATTCGGCACGCAATCATATAAAAAGAGAGGGTCCGTCATCCATTAAAGACACCAAAATTTTTACGTGAAAAACCCCTGAAAAAGGGGGAAAAATGGATGAGATATTTTGCTAAACTTTTCAATGATGATTGTGAAAATATGATTGACTTTAGTGACATTAGCACCCTAAATGAAAAGAAAGATTTCTATTTTATTGGCATATTAGTAAAATCGAAGTTAGAGAGGCTTTAAAGAAAATGAAGTATGGAAAAGCTATTGGACCTAATGATATTCCAATAGAGGGGTGGAAATGCTTGGGAGATGGAGTTTTTTTACTTACTAAACTTTTTAACATTGTTTAGAAGACTAAAAGGGTGTCAGAATAGTGGAGAATGAGTATGCTAATTCCATGGCACACCAAATAAGGTGATGCACAAGATTTTGCAAATTATAGAGGAATTAAGTTAATGTGTCATACTTTAAAATTATAGGAGCGAGTTATGAAGCGTAGGTTGTGGTGTGATACTAATGTTTCTCAAAATCAATTTGGATTCATGTTAGGCAAGTCTACTATAAAAGACATACATTTATTGAGAGGTTTGATGCAAAAATATAGAGAGAATAAGGAGGATCTATATATGATGTTTATTGATTTAGAGAAACCGGTAAAGTTCCAAGAGAAGTGCTATGGAGAGTTCTTGAAAAGAAATAAGTTAATAACGCTTATCTTTAAATCATTAAAGATATGTATGCGTGAGCTATTACTTGTGTTCAAACACAAGGTGATTTGACCAAGTATTTTCCTATTTCAGTTAGATTACTTCAAGGATCAGCCTTAAGCCCATATCTTTTTGCTTTAGTCATGGATGTTCTTACTAGATATTTGCAAGAGGATGTACATTGGTGTATGCTTTTTGCTGATGATATTCTTCTTGTTGACAAGATTAGAGAGAGAGTTGAAGGTAAACTTGAATTATGGAGGTCAACCTTAGAGACTAAATGATTTTGCTTGAGTAGATCTAAAACTGAATATATGGAGTGTAACTTTAGTCGTAATAGACGTAGTGAGTGGATTGTGATTTGTGACTTTGGGAGATCAAGTCATTAATAAGAGTACATGTTTTAGATACGATCTCATGTTTTAGATACACTGATGTATATTATATTTCGTTGTTTTTCTAATACTTTTTACTATACTTAGGTTGAACTAACAATATTTTGTAATATTGTCTTCTTCAATTAGAGAAAAATGCGAATTTTTGTATTCTTCACCTATATAAAGAATTACTTCGCCTCCACCAAGCGACATGGTTTTTTTTTCTTTTCTTCTCAAAATTTCATGTAAAAGGGGTATTTCTTCGCTACGCACCTGACTTAGCGCCCTTCCAAGACCTAGCGACAGACGGGCAGATCAAACTGTTTTTAATTTCAACAATTATCTGTTAAAAACTTTTTGTATTTGTGCGTGCACAAATGTTTGTGCAAAATTAAAATTTAAAATTCTCACTATGCCGCTAGAAAATTTCAAACATGCGGTAATGCATAGATTTTTTTTTTTTTTAAATTTTTCATCAATCAATATGTCAGCGGGAATTTAAATCGAGGATGACAGATTATTAACAAATTTTTTTTTTTATTCATATTAAAATTACTGAGTTGAACAATCAACTGAATTGCTCACATTGATTTTGAATTTAATCATATCTGCATGAAATCGAACAAAGTCAGAGATTACTTCAAAAATATTTTTGTTTGTAAGCGAGAGAACACATTAACTCGAGTATATTCTTCTTTTTTTCATTTGTCTTTCAACCACTTCGGTTCACCTGAACCGGTTTGGGAAGTCGACCGTCCCGCAAATTTCAAACGTGAAGAAATAGGCCCTTGACAATCCACTATCCGATTAATTTTTTATTATGATAATTGACAGTTTTAAAATAATGTCACTTTTTATTTACTATATATTTAATTAAAATTTTAATTTTTTATGATAAAATTTTAACGAGTTATTTAGCAAATATGCTCAGATATCACTGTATCAATAGATTAAATATATTTATTTATATATTAAATTTTCAGAATTATTTAAATTGATTTAATTATTTAAAATCTTAATTATATTTATGTGTATCATCTATTTATTGAGTGCTTAATTTGGCTATACCGCACCAAACCCTGTTATTTTAGCCGCGCGACCATTTTGATTTCCAGTAATCATCCACCCGATAAATGGCCCATTAACCAATCAACGGCCATGATCAGTTCAAAAGGTTTGGCACACCAATACTTAGTACGGTGTTCCGCGGGACACCATGATTTCGCTTGCCCCGCTCGACGGAATCCGGAAGTGGACTTCCCTGGTTTTCCTTGCACGCTTGAAAGTTGGAAGGTGACGAGTGGTCATCGAGGAAGAAATCCTGGAAGAAAACGTTTTCTTTAAAGCTCGATATTGAAGTGCTCGGCTTCCATTCCGGTTCTGGAATGATGATTTTCTTGCTAGGGCTCTTTGTGTGAGCTTAAGTCCGATTTCGAGTTTCGATTCTGAAGGATTGGACGCTAGACGACGATTCAAGAGGTTTCTAGGTTTGTTTTCTTCATCGTTTGATTTGGATTTGTTACGATCATGAGGATCACTGAAGTGGAGGAGGGAAAGTCGGAGAACTGTGATGAGAATGAGATTGTGCCGATTTGCGCGAAGAGAGTGCTGGTTGGGGCGGGGGCGAGGGTTCTTTTCTACCCGACTCTTCTCTACAACGTCATCCGCAATAAGATTCAGGCAGAGTTTCGTTGGTGGGACGAAGTTGATCAGGTGGTTCTTCGTTTCATAAATTTTGTTATGATTCTCAGTCGCTTCCTTATGCTAATGTTCTCCTATGTATGATTGGTATTGCCCATATTTATTTTTGATTTGTGAGAGCTCTCTTCGATGTAAGGTTAATTTTGGCTCTTCTGCTGTTTTTTTCTTATGGACACGCATGTGATTTTATTCCTATCTTTATTTCCTAATTTTACTTAAAGAGATATTCTTTTAGTCAATATGTTACTTGGTATTATAAATTTGTAATATTTCAAATTGAGAGTTTTACGGCCTTGGTTCAGCTTACATAACATTGGATCTGCGTAAGTGCATTTGTTTTTTATTAATATAATAGTTGAGCTTGCAATCTGCTCTATTCGGTATAATAACCATTAGTTTTGTGTCCGTTCATCAGTTCATGTAACTTGCGATGCAAATAAAAGGGAGAAATTATGACCCTGGTTTCTGAGCTATTATAATTCTCATCGCAGTTTTTTTTGGCCTCTTTATCATTTAATAGTAGAAGTTTAGATTCGTAGCTTTTCTTGCTTAGAGTTATTTTCAATTTACAAGGTTGTTAATTTCTGTGCTCACTTCAACCATGATGTGTGCTTTTTTGCGTCTTTGATGCTTTTTTGTTGGGTAGCATCTACTGTGAATACTTTTGGCACAAAATTCTCCACACTAATTTCATAGTTCCACTGACATTTAGTTCCACCAATGGTGATGATACCATGTGATTGTGCTTGTTAGGTTATTTTTAGCTTAAGCGTTCAGTTATACTATTTTTTGAATTTTGAGGCCTATAAAGCGTTTAGTCATGTTTTTGAAAGATAGTATATGCTTTCAATTCAGCTTTAATGTTCGCCTGTGTTTTTTTAGGACAAACCAATACTTAGTCATGGTTTCTAATTGTGGTGTGGACTTTTATAGTGGCAAATTACTGTTTCTTAGTTTGCTTTCTAATGGCGTAGTCATTTGCTAGACATGCAAGGAAGCAGATGATGTTCAATAGTGAAGGCAGTAAAACTCTGTGATATCTTGAATATAATTCAAAAACAAAAGCTAAAATCAATCTATCTTTGGCAATTTTATCCAATTTTAGTTGTTCTCCAGCCAAAATGCTCTTTCTCCTTTTGTATTGATAATTTAATGATATGAGCCTGTTTTGTGCATATTTTCTAAACAATTTAACCACTAATTGCGATGGAGACAAAGACAAAGGGCGGACATTTCAGATAAAATAACCCGTTGATGCAAGTCAGGCAAAAGCAAGAGCAATCCATATTATGTACTCAATGGGCTTAAGCAAATGCAAGGACTGCGCAGAATAAAATAGGCCATTTAGTGGGTTTTCACAAGTTGCTTGTAGTTTGAGCAGTTTTGGATCTGTGAGTTCACTGTTTTCAAAATAAATAAGATTGCTATGTACAATATTTTCAAAGTGAAAGAATAAAAATACACGCATTCAAGGCATCATTAAGCCTAAGAAATAAATATATAATATATTAGTATTAAAAAAATAATTAAAATTTTTGTATGAAAAAAAAAGCCTAACTATATATGAATCATGATTGGGCCTAAGATCAAACTTTTTAATAGTTAATTGTTGAACGGCAAACAAGTTTTTGAAGGTAAATAATTAGTCAAACTGTATTCAAGTTTGGTTCAATTAATCTCTGAACTTGTAAAAAATGTTCGAACTTATTCAATTACTAACTTGAGCGAGTATTAATCGAGTTGAGTTTAGCTATACATCAACTGATCAAGTACATTGGTACACACACATACAACTTTGTAAATCCATAATTCTTTGACCTAGGCGCTATCACCGGTTCCAGAAGTTTCTCACAACCAAATCCCAGATCACAAAGTCTCTCATTATGCCCCTTGGTTGAGCCCTTGCTATGGATTCATATGTTGTTTGCAAGGGTTTACCATGTCTGCTAGCCATTCTCACTACAGAATCTTACCTAAAAAAACCTAGGAGATCCAAGAATAAGGTTACACTTACCGATCCAGTAATGGAAAAGCAACTTTCCCTTTCATCCTAGATTGATGGAAGCTCTATTAGGTACTGTCAACTCAGTCTTGGATCATTAAGCTCCAACTAGTTTAGTGACTCTCCAACTGATCTCCAACTGATCAGAATGTTTAAAAGTTTTTTTATAATTAAACAATTAAGATAGCACAGTTTTCAAGCCAATTCAAATTTAGTTAAGCTAGCCACACTAAGCTCAAACTCTGCTCAAATTCTATTTCTATGCAAAATGGAGCCTATTTTCACGTCTTGATCTAGATCTGTTCAATTATCATTTTAATAAAGTTCTTGCAATCATCAAGCGGTTTTATGACACTTTGTTCATTCATTACGTGGACTGCAAATTGATCATATTTTTGCATCTGAAACTACAATTTTGGTATTTTAATTGGGTCTCTGACCTGTTTAGTGCTTCACCAACATCATGCTCAATTAGTTTCTTCATCCGCATAAGTTTACTGTTAAAATTTTCCTCCACTTTTTGGAAAATGCCTTGTAATTGTTTGGTGTAAATCAAGTATACTTCCATCATTAGTGATGGTCTGATGGAAGTTGCTTTGTCAAATTATTGAAAAACTTTTGCTGTCAGTGGAAAAGAACGTTTGGCCTTCAATTCTTGAAGATTTCTCCGCGTTCTATATCTTCAGTTCTATATAATAAAAAAAAATCGAAGGAAATATGCCTGTTGCTGTTGTTCATTTCAACCTCTTTTTAACGGACCTATTATTATGATTGTTTCAATAAGTGTTAAGTTTGATGAGCACCGAGTAAAGTTTAATTTTGTTGCGAAGGCATAATTCTTTTTTTTTTTCATACGAATAACCAAGTTTAAGATAGCAAGCCAAAAATTATATTTTGATACGCCATCTAATTTGCTGTGAGGTGATATTGTTCAATGAAGTGTTACTTGAATTTCAAAGTTCTAAAAAACTCATTGTATTGATTATTCGGTTTCAGTTTGGAATGCAAAACAGCCTTTGAGTGAGGATTGTTGAAAATTTTTTGAGCTGTTTTTTATGTTTATATCTGCGTGGAGTGCATGCATTCTTGCGGAATGTGTAGCCATTGCAGTTCTCCAACTGGTTTCCTTAGATTTGGATCACATTTTTATTTTAAGCCTGATGAAAATCTTTATCTATTTATTCTTTCATAAACCAAAAGAGTGAGAAAACACTTGAGCATTCACATAGATTTTTTTGTTTTGTTCTTCCAGAATTTATCTTCTGTTTTTTTTTTTCTTTTTATGCAGTACTCTCTGTCTACTTTCCCTCTTATTCTATTTCAGCTGAGTTAAATATTGGAATTCTCCTTGTATTGTTTTCTATAATTTGGTTTTTGTTTCAGTTTCTGCTGCTTGGTGCTGTTCCTTTTCCAAAAGATGTACTTCTTTTACAACAGCTTGGAGTTCGTGGTGTTGTCACTCTGAATGAACCATATGAGACATTGGTTCCTTCTTCTCTCTATAAAGTGAGTTTGTTCCAACTACTTATTGCATGTTTAGAATACTCTTCTGCATTTCCAAGCAAATGTTGCATTTGATTACACAATTGATACAGATGTATTGTAATCTTTTCTTCCAGGCTCATGGAATTGATCATCTTGTGATTCCCACCAGAGATTACCTTTTTGCTCCTTCAGTTGTAGATATCTCCAGGGCTGTGGATTTCATTCACAGTAAGAAGCTGCTCTTTGACTGACAACTGAGTGAATATTTAACTTTTCTTGTGTAAATTTTAATATTCAGGTGTCATCATTTTTGGTTTTTCAACCTTTTGATGTTGTAGAGCTCTTAACGAAATTCTTATCGGGAAAGAAAGTTGCTTGCATGGGAATAGGGGCTATTATCTTATAATTTTCTTGTATCCTTGTTTATGGGTAACTTAATCTTGTCTGTTTTTTGTGTCACTTGTATTCGAGTGGTTGGTGTGTAAACTACGCTGAAAGTACTAGAAATCTTGGAGTTTACCATGCTGGTGCCTTTCTCTATGTAAGATTAGTGGTGGTGGGTATTAACCAAAGATTGTGTCTAATCAATTGCATGCATTTAACCATTACATTGTGCAACTCAAGGCTATGGTCCATTCTTACGCTTTGGCTATTGTGTATTATTTGAGACCAGATATTTCTAAAAGTAGCTTGGGGAAGCATTAATCCAACAATGAAACTTCAGAACTCATTATCATGTAATGAAAACATGCTTTCCTTTTTTTATTTTGATTCCTTTGGCAGCTTGATCTTTTTGGCGTAACTACAGATCCTTGTTGTACTTCCTGCCTAATTTCTATTTTTGCTTTCTTTATGTTTCTAGTACTCTTGATACTATTTTATCTCAAGATCAATTTCGATTCATGCCAGGTAGGTCTACTATGGAAGCTATACATGTATTGAGAGGTTTGATGGAGAAGTTTAGGGAGAATAAGAAGGATCTACATATGATATTTATTTGATTTAGAGAAAGCTTATGATAAAGTTCCAAGATAAGTGCTATGGTGAGTTTTAGAAAAGAAAGGGATTAGTAATACACTAATACTTATACTCAAAGTCATTAAGTATATGTATGCAAGAGTTGTTACTTGTGTTCAAACACAAGGAGGTTGGACCAAGTATTTTCTTATTTCAGTTGGATTACATCAAGGACCAGTTTTAAGCTCATATCTTTTTGCTTTAGTTATGGATGTTCTTACTAGAAATTTGCAGGAGGATGTACCTGGTGTATGCTTTTTGTTGATGATATTTTTGTTGTTTATAATACTAGAGAGAGAGTTAAAGGTAAGCTTGAATTATGGAGGTCAACCTTAGAGTCTAAAAGTTTTCGTTTGAGTAGATTTAAAATCGAATACATGTAATGTAATTTTAGTAGTAATAGATCTAGTGAGGAGATTGTGACTTTGGGCGATCAAGTCATTAATAAGAATACACGTTTTAGATATCTCGGGTCTATTGTCTATAGTGATGGTGAAATAGATGGGGATATTATCAGTAGGATTCAAATTGGATGGTTGAATTGTAGAAATGCATTAGGGCCTGTTGTGGGATATAAAAGTGCCCCAAACTTAAGGGAAAATTCTAAAAGATGGTGGTGAGACCTGCAATGTTGTATGGCGCAGAATGTTGGTCATTAAAAGAGAAGCATACAGTTAAGTTGAGTGTTGCAAAGATGAGGATGCTTAGTTGGATGAGTGGGTTTGCTCTTAGCGATAGGATGTGAAACGAGTATATACGTGAAAATATTAGAGTAGCTCTAGTGGCATATAAGATTAGAGAGAGTCATGTTAGATGGTTTGGTCAGGTCATATAAAATGTCGTTGTTTGATGATCCTATTATGAGAGTAGATGTATTAGATTTGGCCTATATTAAGAGAGGTAGAGGAAGTCCTAAAAAAACTTGATTAGAAAATATTAGAAATTGCTTTTCTTTATTAGATTTAAATGGTAATTTGACTCTTATTATGACACAATAGAAAAAAAAAAAGATTCATGTGGCCAACCCCGCGTAGTGTGGGATAAAGGATTGATGATGTTGTTGTTGTTGTTTATATGTTGCTGATACTATTCTTGTTGTCAGCTAAATTATTACTTTTTTTGGATAACATTCCAATTATTCATGTCAACCAATTTATGTCTGTTTGATGTATGACTTTCTTATCTACAATTCTTGTGTTGGTTCACCACTTTTGAGAATCTATGCATGTATGTCAACAATCATGATATTGCAGTCAGTTCTTTCACTCATTTGTATTTAGTTTGCTTACAAAAACAATTGTAGGGTTATAGCTGTCAGCTATTGGTTTTGTTAAACTTATTAGAAAATAATACCTATTTCTAATTTGGTTTCTATAGTTATTATGGCTATTATGTGGCAAATGTTTTGTTAAAGGTCCTTTTCTTGTCCCCTTTCATTGCTACAAATTAATGTCAGTATGACTTGATCAGGATTGAAAGTTCGTTAGGGATGTTAAGCCCTATAGAACTGGCCCAAGCTAACCAAGAGGGGGTGAATTGATATTTTAAAAATTCTTTTCACAAAGAAGAAAAAATCTAATAAACCAAAATCACACCACAAGAAAAAATAAGCGCGGGAATTTAAAGTGCGGAAGCAAGAAATAAGAACACATAAATTTATATTGGTTCGGTCAACTCGACCTACGTCCACTCCCCGGAGGCGCCCTCCAAGTATTGCACTACAATCGTGACTCTCCTTTAGCACCCACAGCTAGGCGGAGAAGCCTTTACAAAGAACCTCCTTTTTGCAACCCCGGCAAGGCAGAGAACCTATCTCCTTTTTCTTCCTCCTGAAGTTGGCAGAGAACCACAATCAGATGCTGACTCCTTACCTCTACCGACCCTTTCACGGACGAGAAACTCTAGACGAAGAAGAAGCAGAGCGATCCTTGAAGCCCTTGTGAATCCCCTCACAAGCTCCCCCTCACAAGATCCTCTCTCTCTTTCTCACCTCAAGGCCTTCTCAGGTCAAGGCACCAGCAAAAGATTGTTCAAAACGTTGAACAAGAGCTCTTAAATAGAAGAGCTTCAAAGGAGTTCATTAATTGCAAGTTGCCGACAATATCGTCCAAATAGGCCCGATATGGGATCATAGTCCTGGCCGATAGTAAATCTCAGAAGAATCGGCCAGAGCATGCGGCCCTGAATGCAAAAGGATTACAGGGATTTGAAACACACATTGCATAGGAGTGTCTAAATTCGTCCCTACCGATCAGTTCAAATTAGAGGAAAATCGTCGCGAGCATCGCCACTGAATTGAGCGGCCGATTTCTATCGTCTAAAAGTGACCTAAGTTTTTGAATAGATCGTCTGGCCGATTCTGCGATCGCCAGTACGATAATGATCGTATCAGTCATCCTTTAATCTACTCCCTTTGATTTCCTGATCAATTAAGGCATAATTTGTGATATACTCCGGCCGATCAATGATCGCCTGGCCGATTATTAAAATATAGAAATCTTAAATTCTATGGGCAACTTCCTTTCTGTTTTAAAGCTTTATCGTCCAGGACGATCTGTTAATGACTGCTGCCTTAATTAAGAATCCTTGTTTAGATTTCTGTTTTAAGCCCGATCGTCCAGGACGATGTAAATATCGTCCTGGCCGATGTGGGTAAAAACAAAAATTCTAAGTCTCTCAAGTGTGTGTGTGTAGGGTTGCTTAGCATCAGTCTCTTTGAACATTACAAATAGACTCAAGAAGAGAAAAAATAAAGTACAGACGGACTCATCCCTAAACCTACGCAATCTTGAACTGGCTTCGTTTGTTCGTCCGATCTTTGATTCCTGAAAAGTTAGAAGTAACAGCAGTCCAAGAGAATCAATAGTGTTTGTCAATCATCAAAACATAAGTCATGAAAATAGATTTGCAACAAGGATTGCATCTTGGATATTGCCGAGACTAAATTAGGCATTTTTGCTTAATCCCTTTAGTAGTTTTCAAGGTGGTTAAAATCAATTTGCTAAGGTTAAAGTTTTATTGAAGATGTATTGTTGATTGCAACTATACTCTTGAAGTTGTTCTATTTAGTTGGACAGACTTGCAGCTCCTGAAATGTCATGGACAACGTGGTTAGAATCATGATACTTGGTTTTTATGGAAAAAATTGTATACAGTCTCCAATAGATGAGATTTTCATTGGTCATGAAAAGGGCTGATGTACCAGCCTTACCTCTACATTCTAAGAGGTGGTTATCGTGATTCCAACCTTTATCCTCTCATAGTGGAAGCAATCTAATCAATCCTCCAGGCCTATGGAAAATTATTTTGTGCCGACGTTGAACGCCGTCCGGAAATCAACCAGAATGCGCCACGTCACCCCTGCTCGGTACCGCAGCTCAGTACTGCTCGGTACCACGGCTCGGTACTGTTCGGTACCGTGCTCGGTACCGCTGACGTGGCTGCACCTGATTCGCCTCCGAATGTAGAGTTGCGTCTGGCGACCGCACATAATAATCTCTAGGTCTACGGTACACGTCCTAGGTTTTGACAAGAATGCTGGGAATGAGTAATACGGTGGACCTTTTCATCAAGGAAAAGCGAATCAGGCTTATGCTGTGCTGTAGACTTAGGGTCAAAAAACTGGCATTATTATTGTTGATTTGGAGCTATGGATTTATTTTTCCCTATATTATCATCTGGCTTAACTTGTTCTAGAACAGAATACGCTTTGAAGTATAATTATTCTCAAGTTATGCTAATTAACTTTCTCCCTCATTTTAGGGAATGCATCCTGTGGCGGAATTACATATGTTCATTGTAAGGCTGGAAGAGGACGTAGTACCACTATTGTTTTATGCTATTTGGTAAGTTCCTAGTTTGGTAAATGCTGATATATAGAAATTCTTTGAATAAAAAAGCAAATATCCTCATCTTTCTTGTTTTTTTATTTGGTTACGATGAATTATACCTCTCCGATTTATAGATAGAGTATAAGAACATGACACCCGCTGATGCGTTAGAACATGTTCGATCAAGAAGGCCTCGAGTGCTGTTGGCTCCATCGCAGTGGCAGGTATGAAGATTTCTTTCATTTTCTCTGTAAACATCTATTGCATTTTTGCTCTAAGAACTCGTTGCCATGCCAAAGTACAAGTCAACTTAATTTTTTGTTATGATATAACTGATTTATAGTGTTTTACAAAATAGTTTTCTTATAATTATCATATAAATTTCTTATATTTCTAATCAGATGTCCTCTTCTAATTCTTCATTCATACTTTTGATAAAGAATCAACTTTTTTCCAAAATAAAGTTGGTTTAATGCAGGCTTGAATAATAACTCATTAGTTGAGGAAAGCATTTATTAATCTTGTTTGAGTTCCAAGCTTCCAATCGATTAGTCAACTCAACATATATTTCAAAGCCAAAATATGATACTCTATCATTAATTTTCATGTGCCAGTTTTTTGCTTTAAAAAAAAGGAAAGCTTGGTGTATCAACATGCATGTGCTCATTTATAAAGACGTTCATCTGCTTCTTAGTTTTCACTGGCCCTGATATATAGAGCTTACCAAACTTTCCCTGTTAAAACCCTCCTTTTTCTTCAATTCTACCACTCCGTTAAGGCCCGTCAGAAATCATGTCGAGTCGCCAATTCCCTGTCTTCCACATAGAATCCTTCTCCACTAGCAATCCTTCTCCACTAGCGATTGCCGATGTCCTTGTCCCTCACCATCGCAAAGACAATTGTGGTATTCTCCACCGCCGCCGGCCACTTCCAGCTCCTCCTTTTCTTGTCATCTCCTAAAGTTACCATCTCCCACCGACGAGCATTTAATATGTCTGGAGCTCCAGAACACTTCTTACACTTCTTTCCAATGCGAAGACATTCTAAAATGAAATTTTCACAGGCTGTTCAAGAATATGGAAGGCGCAAATCAGAGTTTCCAGCACTTCAGAGGTGCACACTGAAATGCTCTCCATCAAGTGATGCTATTCTGATAACAGAAGCTGATATACAAGGATATAACAACACCAGCGAGGATTGCTCTGAAGGTCAGGCGATTGCCCTCCATTGCCCAACAAAAGTTAGGCCAGCTCTGCTTTCGCAGCTCGGTTCGACAATAGGAGATGAGGTTCTGATCACATATGAAGATCTGGAAGGTTATGACAGCATTGTCAATGAAGTTTCTAAAGATAGGAGCAACGAAATTGTCTCAAGGCTTTCCTGCTTCTTTTCAACCTTCAGAATTTCTAGCAGTTGCTCACCCTCTTCTAACAGGCTTCAAGAAGTCCAAGCCTGCTAGCTTTACCTACAGCAGTTTGGTCAGACATTTCTCTGTCTATGGAGTTGTTGGAAAGGAAGAGTATTAAAAGTTCCTTTTTTTTTTTAAGTTGTTGTATGCTTCATCGACTAATATGGATTGGGGCATCTTTGGGAAGTTAAAATAAATAATTGTTATTATAACTGTGTTATGCTTCTTACTCCTGCGGCATGTTATGTAAATCATGTCATTAATTTTGTGTGGGTAGTTTTCAGTTCTATCTCAGTTTATTGCTAACATAAATGTTTTGTTGTGGTTGATTTTGATCTGTTTTGCAGCACATTAGTATTTCTCATGTATTGGGTAAATTATTAGGTCCGGACATCCAATTAAAACTTGCCACGTCGACTGCGCTTTCACTGTATTTTAACTGCGCTTTAGGTGCGCTTTGACTGCGATTTACCTGCACTTTACTTGCGCTTTTGACGCACTTAATTTAAAATAATATTTTATTAGTATCCGGACGTATCTCTACATCTGATGACCGGACCTAATAATTTTCCGATGTATTGGGTTTGCTGTTGACAGTTCTATGGTGTATTTGTCGAGGCGCAAGGGGATGACATCCCATCAACAAGTTTGTTAGCAAAGTATGGAGAAATTATTTTGTGCAAGAGTTTGAACGAAAAAAATTGTTCTGATATGCGAGTGTACATATATTATATATAGTTTGTACATAAATATGATGAGTGCAAAAGAAGTGATAATTTTTGTTCTTTTGAGAACGGTTCGTGGGCTGCAATCGACATTCAAGAACCGACCATATCTCGTGAGCGTCGGGGGAGGAAAGCACAAAGGAAACAATCAAAGGCGAAATGGTTGAGAAGAGTGCAGAGATGAGATTGTTGTCGATCAAATGCCATAGTTTGTAATCGGAGCTGGTGGGATCAATCGGAATTGGAGTTTCGGCCGTTAGGTGTCCCACAAAGCCATTCACAAGTGAAGTGCTGGAGCAGTTGAAGACGCCAGTTCGCATACGTGTCGGAGGTAAGCTGAGTGGGAACGAGATTCTTGATGTTTGAGATCAAGAAATTGAGAGGTGGGGGAATAACAAGGTTAGAAAGAGAAGTTGAGAGAGTAGAGGGAGAGGATGGGAGGGAGGTAGCCGATTCTTGATCTGCCATGGCAAAGCTCTGATACCATGTGAGAAACGGTAAAGGGCAGACGGACAGAGCAAATATGGAAAGAAGAAATGAGAAAAAGTATTCCAAAGTATGAATGTCAAGTTATATATATATATATAACTACAAGGGAATACAAGACCCGTCATAGATGATGACGTGGACAGTTCGCTAACAAAATGACCATAAAATAAGATTAGGTTAATCGCCTCATGCCCTGATTGGATTTGGTCGAGATTTGCATGATCTAGATTTATAATTTCAGTGTAAATTTTGATCAAAGTTTAATTTTTTAAGATACCAATTTCTGCAAAATATCAAATTTGATGTTGGATTTGGTCAAGAAGATTTGTACAACCTATATTTTTAACTTTGGTGTAAATTTTGATCAAAGTATGTTTTTTTATGAAATCAAATTTCTGCAAAATGTCTAATTTGGTGGCCATCAAATTATTGTTTGGGATGATCTTTACAAGTTTTTTTTACTTTTATCAAAAGAGAGAGTTTATATAGGTGCACATGGTTGGGTATGTAATATCTAATTTACTGTTCTTTATAAACAAGTTCATGAATTGTAGAATGCTGTGGAAGTGAATTCCGCCTTAAATGTGTAGACATTGTGTCATTACTTATCAACTTTTTGATATTATTCCTATGCAAAGAGTTCTTTTGTTATGAACTATAAAGAAGTGTGTCAAAGAGCTTTATACTGAAATGAAGCATTCTGAAGCTCTTTTAGAAAGCTTCAAGTTAAGCTTAACTGTACTAATTTACTGCACTAACTACATGATGAGTTTTTGGAGAGACCAAAATTAAAACTTATATTACAAAAATAAATTTTATATCATTAAATTGTTTTTATATGTTATTATTAAATTAAATTTTTAATTTTTAATTAGATATAAACTTTTAATAATACTTTATTTAAAACTTATAATATTTTTCATATAAGAAGTTATATATATTTATTATTAAAATTTATTTTAAATGTTACATTACTAAAATTTATATATACATTTAGTAATATAACATTTTATTTTAAATTTATATATTTCTTTAATTTAATAATAAATATATAAAAAAATTAGATATTTTTTTTCTAATAAAAAAATTATAAACTTTAACATTTTTATTATTGAGTTAAAATTATAATAAATATATTTTATAACCTTTATAAATTTATTATTAAAATTTTAATAAATATATGATATCATATCTTTTTTAAATATTTATTACAAATAATTAAATATTTAATAAAATATTATATTAAAAATTTATATATCATTATTATTTAGTACTTTTTGTTAAATTTAAATAATTATAGTTAATATTACATACATCTGCTAGATTCGAATATGTGCCTTCAAATTGAATAACTAAAGACTCAACAACTGATCGCAAGCAGGGTACTGTTTGAATGATAATAAATTTTAAATTATATTGGCATTTTTGGCATTTTTCTAAAAATGCCCTGGTGTATTTTAATTTTTATGTCAAACACGTTTTACAAATTCCAATTTTTATACTCTCCTTTTAAAATTTCCCTCTTCCTGCCAGATAGGAAATTTATTATTTAAGCTTTTTGTGAGTTCGTGTTTGCTCTTGCTTTCTCAGGCACTCCAATGGAGAGATTATTACTCGCTTGTCCGAATGCGTTCGGTTTGCAATAAACACGCGCCACATCAACCTAAAATTCAAGTATTTTGGCCTCGGTATTGCTGCGTATACATTCGGACCGTTTGGTTTTTAACCGGATGTAATAATTTCTCCTCCAAATGAACCCTTTTGATACCTCGTTAGAAATAATTGTTGGCCTGCCTCAGTGGTTGTTTACGTAGACTAAATAAGCCTAATGGTATGTTAGATGGACATGAACCTGGATGGAGGGCTGTTCCTCCCCATGATCCGTTGTCCAGGCTGCAGCAAACCATGCTGTTAAGGCCATCAATATATGTTCAGTCTTTTCTTGTTACATTTGAGCTGCTTGAGATTCTAATGCAAAAGCTGAGGTCGAATAGTCTATTGAAGTCTTTTGATTTTGTTTCACTTCCTACGTTTTTTTTGCTCTTTGAACATTACCTGAAATACTGCTGATAATTACTCTTTCATTATTTTTTGGCTGACAGGTGATTGAAGACTTTGCTAAGTTCGATTTACTGCTTAAACTAAGGAGGAGAGGAGGGAAGGTGGAGAAATACAAGGTGGAAGTTCACAAAAATGTGGGAGGGATTTTTAGTCTGAATCAATTCCTGGAGGGGTATTAGCTCCTTTGTCTTTGTTGTTGTTACTAGCAGACTTTTACTAATGAGCTGTTTAATAACTAATCACAACTTAATGGTGGTGTTTTCTTTTTCTTATTTGGAGTTTAAATACTTGTTTCATGCATGGTTATGATTACTGTGAAAGTACTACAGGGTGTATTTGAAGCAATGATTTGGTTTCCTTCCTATGACAGATCATGAATTTGAATTACAAAATAGTCTATCTCATGATGGTATAACAGCATATATAATTAGGAAATACCTTCTAAAACTCTCATTTTTGGAGAGTTTTAGCATTTGCTATTCTTGTTTCCTAATAGTTTCTTTGGATGTTTATATATTTGCTTCTGAATGAACAGGTTAAGTGTGCCTCCTATCAGACTAAAGTGTCATCAATAAACGTCCATGTATTATTAAAATCTGTTGCAAATTTAGATTTAATATGCCTATTTGTTACCTAAGTGTTGTGGAGATGAGGATGCTCGTGGTGGGTTAGTGGCTTTAGTTTAGAGATAGGATATGAAATGAGCATTATACGTGAAAAGGTTGGAGTAGCTCCAGTGAAAGATAAGATTAGAGAGAGTCGCCGTTAGATGGTTTGGTCACATAAATCGGCGGCCCTTCCGATGATCCGATTAGGAAAGTAGACGTATTAGATTTTATTTATATTAAAATAGATAGAGGTAGACCTAAAAAAATTTGGTTAGAAAATATTAGAAATAATCTTTCTTTATTATATTAAATGAGAATTTGATTTTTTAACATGACAAAATGGAAAAAAAAAAAGATTCATGTAGTTAACCTCACGTATGGACAAAGATTTGATTGTTGTTATCATCCTATCATCAAAAGGGACACTTGTTAGCAGTTGAATTTAGACTAAATTAATGATAAATTTAGCCAAACAGTTTGATAGAATATATGAATAATCCAGTGGTTAAATTAAAACTTAAATCCTGGATTTAATAAATCCTAACAAGACACAGATTTAAGAAATTTCATAGAATTAAGGATTTATAGATCATCTTGCATGCAAACATTCTCGGATTTGACACCAATCAAAATATTTTCAGAATTCAACAATACAAAAATTATAAGACTATTTGAATTTACTATCAAATATCCTCTAAAAATGCTCCATTAGAAGCTAAATCCAAGTATGTAAATCCTCAAATCTAGGGCCGTTTGACCTTCCAACTCGGATGATTTAGGTTTTGAGATTTACGTATATGATGTGTTTGCAAATGAGATTTAATAAAACACAATAGAGAAATATTCCACGTAGTGGAATAAAGGCTTCTTGTTGTTGTTGAACTGTATGCAAATGTGTTTTAATTGATACAAAAGTCTAAAAAAAAAAAAAAAAGTTCCATAACCATTGAAGAAAGAACCGAGCAGATGAAAGACAAAAAGCTCATAAAAAGAAAGAACTATAACCTATCATGTTGTTCTAATTACATATTTCTAACGCTGTGGAAAAGCCTAAGTATAATAAAAAGAGCATCGGCTAATCAAAACTTGCTAAAACTTCTTTATGTACAATATAATAATCTTAATGAACTGATCAACAAGGGTATTCTGTGACATGAAATAAACAGCTACCAAAAGCAAGACAGCTTAAGGAAAAGTCTAATGTGTCGTCTTCGTTGTCGTAGTCTTCTTCTTCATCGATTCTTTTATCTATCAAGGCCAGTTGAAGGGGATCAATGGTAACTTTGTTTG